CACAACAGTCATGTTTAATTTATTAATGAATTTTACTTATTTCTTCTATATAAATATTCAAGTGTATAAATATAGTAAAATATTATATTATCATTATTTTATTTTTAGAGATTCCTCAATTGAAGAAATAAATTATAAGATCTGATAAAAAAAATGGATTTTATCGTTCAAAGGTTAGTTACTCACAAATAGGTTAGTTGCTCACAAAATAAATGCATTTAATTTAAGATTATTGAATTTTTATATTCTATATATTTTATGCTTCATATTATGATTCTATTTAATTTTTTGTCATATTTGTGTAAATAATTGTGTCATTTTTATTAAAATTAATATTTATTACATCATCTGGTCCAACTCCAGTCGAACCATCGAACCGTGAATATTTCTTTCTTCCGATTTATTGTCTGGTCCGATTTTCACAACCTTGCTTATGACATTAATAGATGTTGCCAACATAGATGTTGACGTCAACATAGATGTTTATGCCAGTTGATTGCATTGCGCAATGTCACTAACATTAACTACGCTCAACATTATATGTAAGATCGACGCATGTCATCCACAGTAGCATTCATGCTCGCCAGCCTAGTCACTTGTCAACTTCATCACATTCCATTGCTAATGTAAATGCACGTTATCTCTTATAAGGTTGACAAAAGCTGCCTATTCCAACCTCAAGACATGTCAACTCCAACTCTAGAAGACAACATCAATATTTATATTGTTTGATTTCCTCTCCTCAAATGCAAAAAATTTGAATAAATAATAAATGATCTCTTAAATGTTTTTCGGCTTTATAACTTACACTATATAATCAATCATCCATTATTGTTCTACACTTAACAAGTTAGAAAAGACGACCATGTGACAATTATTTGTTTTTAAATTTTCTATAGTTCTCTAGAAAATTAAGAAACCCTAAAACAACCGCTCCATGAGAATCCAAATATCCGATAGGAAGTTGTAAAATAGTCGTGAAATATTTTTTCGTGCCACTCTGCTAGATTGTGCCCTAGCCGTCGCCTAGAAGAAATCCATTGTCTACTCCAGGGAAGTTTTCTTCCTTAGTTTTTTTTCTTCTGTGGTGTTAGTTGTTTTCCTTTCGGTTTTATGGCGTCTCCCAGTTTCAAGGATCCCAATTTTTTGAATGGGTTTTCTTCTCTTTCCTTTAATGATGTGTTATATGGTACATCTTCTACTTCCGTTCCCTTTCTCGATCTTAAAGTTTCCTCCCACCGTAGTTTGTCAACCTTGTGAATTTCAGAAGCGAAAATCCTATCTATCTCTTGCTACTCCCTTTAAATTCGCCCTTGTGGGCAAGTTCCCAGACCGTAGGCCATCTCTTGATGCCATTAGGAATTTTTTATTCAATCTTAAATTGAATGATGAATGCTCAGTCACTGTCCAAAATCAACATAATGTTTTGTTTAAGCTCTTTAACGACATGAATTACAGTAGGGTTTTTGCTCATCGGTCCTACTTTGTGGCAATTATTATATGAAATTGGTTAAATGAACTCCTTCGTTAGACATTGAGGTTGAATCTTCTATAATCCCTATTTGGATATTGTTTCCTAATCTACGACCTCACCTTTTCGTTCTGCGTATTCACCATGGCCTTAGCTCCATATTCGGTAAACCCTTAAAGACCGATAATGTTACTTCCTCTGGTTCATGACTGTCTATTGCTCGCGTTATGGTAGAACTTGATGTTACCAAATATTTTCCTAATAAAATTTGGGTTGGCCCATATAACGTAGGTTATGTGCCGTCTGTGATTTTGGAAGACTTCCCTGCTTATTGTGTGCATTACAGATCTTTGAGCCATTCAAATGGAATGTTGTGTTTTGCATCCACACCTTAATATTTATACTTATGCTGTCCCTCCGCCTACTGTTAAGGATAATAATGTGTTGCCTGGGTGGTTACTAGTGGTGCGTTGGTTTCGGCCTCTCCCTTGAATGTTGAGGAGGATGTAGCGCCTGATCCTAATGTTGTTGAGGTTGGTGAACCTAATAATTGTTTAATTAATATGGTAGCTTTTCCTAGCAAAACTCCTGATCCTAATGTTGATGTTAGCAAGGGTGAAAATGCACTTTCTGACATGGGGATCGTGATTGTCACTCACCTGCGGGAGGGATTTCGCATTTTATTCATGCTTTAGGGGGTGGTCGAGTTTAAGATGAACTGGGTAATTCGGATGATATGAGTTCTGGGGAGGATATTGATGGAGTTGGGGGGCCTATGATTGATGTGCCTTTATGTGTTGTTTCAAGTGTTCGGATGTTAGCTCACCTTGCTAGGAATAATGCAGTGGGACAATGTGATTGATTAGATGATGGAATTTCTTCAGCAGGAGGGGAGAAGACTAATGAGTTAGAATTGGATGCTTGAGACAATTTTAACATAAGTATTCTTCAAATTACAGATGTTGGTTTTTTTTTCAAAAAGAGTGTTAAGCATATAAAACGTAAGCTCATAAAGAAATGCTTCTTCTTTTTTGTATCTGCTTGGTTATGATTTTGTTGGTTATTTTTGAGTTTGGATTAAGTTGATGTACATGAATCGGGTCAGGACAATGATGAAGCACGTTTCATGCATGTGCCTCGGATGACCATGGCTGGTTGGCAACCTAGGTGGATGTTTTCACTATCCATTTTGGTGGATTTCGTATTTCGGCTTTTACCTTTTCTTCCTCTTTAGAATTTTTATTGCGTCCTCCCACCTGACGTAGAGATATATCCTCCCATCACTAAAAAACTGAGTTTTTGCTCGGTATTGCTAGCTATTATTTGGTATTAAAGAAGAATATACCGAGCAATACAAAAAAATACCTAGTTTTTCTTAGAAAAAACTCGGTATTGCTCGGTATAGCTCGGTATTGCTCGGTATAGCTCGGTATAACTCGGTATTGGTCTTCACATGATGATATTCTTCTTTAATACCAAATAATAGTTAGCAATACCAAGCAAAAACTCAGTTTTTTAGCGGTGGGAGGACGTATCTCTACGTCAGGTGGGAGGACGCAATAAAAATTCCTTTGGATGGCCCAAGCTTGACAACCAGGTGGTGGTCTGAGTACGTCTGATTTTTTTGCATTAACTATTTGGCCCTCACAATTATTGTTTTCCTCTGGCTATATTTTTGCTCTATGTGGTCATTTTTTTTTTGTTTTGGCCTTGTGGTGTATTGTTTTTTTTATCTAATGAATTCCCCTTTTTGTTTTTTTTTTTAAAAAAAAAGAATAGCCGACAGGCTGCAAGTCAAATTGATTCGACGTTAAAAAAAAAAAAAACAGACAGGAAGCAGGCGGACTCAAAATAATAAAAAGTCTCCTCTACTTGTGCTTCTTCGGCCCATCAGCATCCATCGTTCTAATTAGATATGGCCGTAAGCATAGAAATATTTCAATCAATTATACAGCTAATAGATAGCAGATTAATTGTAAGTAAATTTAAGAATCCTAATAGATCAGTCTTGAGTGCTCATCTTGCCACCTCCAACTCTCTTAAATAATTAAAAAAGAATATTCCAATCAAAATTTAGATATATGCATAAAATATAACTTCTATTTTAAAAAAATAAATTCAATATAATAAAAATAAATATAGTGAAATATATAATAAAATAATAAGATATTTATATATAATTATTAGAATAAATATTTTATAATGGTGTAAAAAAATAATAAAAAAAGACTTGAACCAAACCTGAAAAATTCAGGCTTGAGCGAGGAAGAAACGTTGGGGACGAAAATGAGGTTCCGAAGGACCCTATGTACCCGGGTTATTAGTTTTTTTTTTCATATGAGCTACACCCCCAATGAGTTATTAGGTTGGGTTCAGACCATTCGGGTTATTAGAATTGCCAGCATTTCGAGTTAAGCAAATCGAGCTTATGTCCATCATTTTAATATATTTATTAAATAGGTCGGATTTAATATGAATGAATTTAGGTCATGTTTATTTCGGACCTATTTTGACACTCCTACTATTTTATACATAATATGAGCCACTTTTCAAGTGAATAATTTTTTGGTTACTAATTTCTGTTTTTTAATATGCATCAAACTATTCATTTTGCAATAAAAATTTCATTCAAACCTTCGAAAATACTGCTTATATAAACCAATAAAATAAATAATTAATTTGAGTTAGTTGAGTAGTGCAATTCTCCAATTAAATCCTCCAATGTATAAGAGCCAAGCAACGGTCAAAATTTTAGTGCCTCGCCTTATCAATTCATTAAAGTCTGCCGTTGACTCCAATTGTTTATTAGAGGATAGATGAGTCATATTTTTGTGTGGTGTGATGTGATTTGATTATTATCAAATTTGATTAAATTAATGTGCTAATTATTTGTTTTTGATGAGTAGAGGCAGCAGGTGAGATGCGCTGAATTAAACAAATCTTTGCACATTGATAGATTAATATTTTGAGGGCCACGCATAGAAAGTCGTACGCAAAAAAAATTTATAATTTACAAATATGAACCCACATGCATTTGAGAAAGTATTCTCTGCGGTCACTGGATAGTTCGGAGACGAATCAAGATGCGCACATCACCTGGTACAGAATACTGGTATATATATAAAAAAAAAGATATTGTGCTTCTTGATTCGTCCCAGACGGAGTCCGGTGACCGTACCCAATAACTTCACCATGCATTGGGTCGATCTTCTATGATAGAACCTGCCCACCCAACGATATTATGTGTACTAGTTAATCAATCGAAAAATATATTGTGACTCACATAAAAATTAGGAGTGTCAAAATAAAAATATATATATTATTTTTTATTTTACTCTTGTATTTCTTCAAAATCAAACAGAGTCCAAATTTATCAATAAATATCACTATAATATGAAACTAATTATTAACCTTCTCCCATACATGGAAATACTTGAGACCCATGGAGTCCTACCTAAGTAGGACGAATTATTATGTCAGGTGGCCAGACGTCCAGATAATCAATCCAGATGCGCCACATCACCTAAATACTCTGGGGCCTGTTGTATTTGGGTGACGTGACACATCTGGATTGATGTCCGGACGAATCCAAACACCGGAGGTAATAATTTGCCCCTAAGTAGAGCCGGACAAGGGAGACCTTTTCTCTTCATCTCTGAAGCCATCCAATCTTATTATATTCCCACCATTTAGCTTATGTCTTCAGATTTCCAAATCACCTCTCCAGCTTCAATAAAACTGTTCAAACCTACCCAACTTCTACGTAAGTTCTTCTTCACCTACAAAAAAACTTTGCTTCAATTCCTACATAAATCACCAAAAACATTAGCTTTCACATCCTATGGAGTTTCATTCGACCTATACCAAGCTTAAACGGAGAAATCGCCGGAGTAGAGGTTTCCGGCTGAGCTCCGGCAGGCTCTGCGTTATTCGGCTTCGGCTTCGGCTTCTGACCGCCTTCGAGCTCTTGTATCAGTACCTGCGAAGGATAAAGAAGAGGTTTACTAGGAGGAAGAGAAGCGAAGATATCATGAGCGGGTCCAGAAGGCCCGATTCCAGGTTAAGGGCTTGCAGGAGATCCAACTCTTTTTACGCAGAAGCCATAGCTGAATGCTTGGAGTTCATTAGAAAAACATCTTCTTCTGTGGATGACGCGTCCAAGATGGCCGTAGGAGGCGGCAAAGTTGAAGAAGACGGCGGCAGCTGCGGCCGGTGATGGCCATGGTGAGGCTATTGGAGAAATTTCTCTCTGTCAACTGTTCATCTTCATTCATTTCTTTGTTGATCAGTTATGTGTTCTGCAAATAGAACGCAAGTCTCAATCCAAAGCAAGTGAGGATGAACATTTATATACAAAAATTTCTTATAGGATGGGAGTTGGTTCTTAATTTGTTCTTTGATATATAGGGTTGATCTTAAATTTGGGCTTCTAAGTTTACTATGATGATCATAATTGATCATCACAGAGTTGCCCTTCGTTGGTTTCAGCCCTTGTTTTTGTCTATAATGTTTTCTTTCATTAAATAAGGCTTGATTGTACAGATGTAGTTAGAAATTAAGGGATTATATGATGATCCTAAAGTTTGTAACTAAGCTTCGTTTGGAATAGCTTTTTTATTGCTTCTTAAAGTAATTTTTCAGTACTAAAAATTTATTTTAAGAAGCATTAAGAAAACAGTTCCAAACGAAACTACTTAAGTTGATTTTGATAATGGGCTTTTAATTACTTTCTAATGAAGTTTGATTCACTTTTGTTCTATGGATATTTATGAAAGTGAAAGGCGAGAAGAGTACAATGTTTGTGAGCTTCTCTTCTTCTTCTCTTTAATGTTTTGAGAGAGATTGATTAAGTTCTTAGAGAGTTTTAAGAAGCATTAAGAAAACAGTTCCAAACGAAACTTAAGTTGATTTTGATAATGGGCTTTTAATTACTTTCTAATGAAGTTTGATTCACTTTTGTTCTATGGATATTTATGAAAGTGAAAGGCGAGAAGAGTACAATGTTTGTGAGCTTCTCTTCTTCTTCTCTTTAATGTTTTGAGAGAGATTGATTAAGTTCTTAGAGAGAGGATGGGTCGATTCATTGAAATGAATGATTTCTGCAATAATTGTGCAGTTGAAGGAATAGATGCATATTAATTGCTACGATAGGGGAAGAAGAGAAAAGATTAGCCGCCAAGGAAGAAAGTTTTTAATATTCTAAGTCATGATAGAAGACTTGGTTGGCCTTAAGAGAGCCACCTAGCATTTATTATGGTTACTAACACAGTAATAGTTGACTAGACATTTGGTGGAGCATTGCCGTTTATTTTGTTAAGATGCAGAACTGTACAAAATGCTGCATTTTACCTTAGGAGTAAGGCTTCGTTTTAGATGATTTTTTTTACTATTTTTAAAGTAATTTTTAGTATAAAATTTTTAATTTTTACGTCAATATGTTGGTTTAAGAAGCAGTAAGAAAATCATTCAATACGAAGCCTAAAATTTTTATACTAAAAATTTGTTTTAAGAAGCAGTAAGAAAGCTGTCTCAAATGAAGCTTAAATCCCTATTGTTTTAATAGAGAGAAAAATAAGAAAGAATGATTGAATTGAGTATTTGCACAAAAATTAATATAAGAATGATCTAACATATTGTGAGCAAATCAATCATAGTACATTATTATTGAGGAGATTAAAATTGAATTTAGAAGGTTTAGCATTTTAAGCATTGCGGTGCCTGCTCTTAGAAAATGATTTTGAACTTCATTTGTCTAAATAGATTCTCTGTCTTGCCCATTAAGAATCTGTTTGGAATAATTTTCTTACTACTTTAATTTTTAAGAATGAAATTGTAACACTATTTGGCTATTACTTTTTCGTTGTTCTTTAGATATTTTTGTATTGGGAAGCTGCTTTTATGGCAGCTTTGAAAAAAATTATTTTACACATAATAGTTTTGTATAACAACTTTTATAAAAAGCTACAGTTATGCCAAATAGATTCTAAATGAGAATTTTATATGTATTTTTTAATTAAAAACATGTAAATTGTTAAGTACACAGAAGATGCTTCATCAAACTAGCCAGGAAAGAGAGAGTTGGGGGAATAAAAACATGTGGATCTTCTCGTTAGGAAGGAGGCTTGGATTGTAAATAATACCAAGGTTTTGTTTGTGACAGTTTTCTTAATATTTTCTAAAGCAGTTTTTTATTATAAAGATTTCTTGAATTAGAAATTTTTGTATTAAAAATTTACTTTAGAAAGCAATAAGAAAGTTATTCCTAATGAAAACTAACATAAGTGTGATGCTGCAAAGGTTTTTTTCTCATAAAGGGACAGAAGATATATGACACCAAATGGTCAAGAGACGAATCAGAATGCGCCACATCACCCGAAACTGAGCGGTACACAATAAGTTCTCATTTGTCTTTGGATGTCGTTCGGTGACTGCACAGAATAATTTTTCTAGCAGGTGAAGGGCTGCTGTGTAGCAGTGTACAATGTGATTGAAATTGAAAAGAAAAAAGTGAAATAATCGATACGATCAACTTTTGAATAAAGTCTCAAAGGATAACTGGATAAGTGTAACTATCTAAAATAACTTTTTATTAAAAAAAAAAATTAAAATATATTTGATTTGCACTTCAAAGTTAATTTAATTTTTAGAAAGTAAATCATGCTATTAAAAAAATATTTAAAAGAATTTTTAGTTATTTTCATTATTTTTGTAAATGGAATCATCATGGCCACCATCTATTGCCTACAATCACTGTCCAAAATAATATTCAATAAAAGAAAAATAACTCTTTTTTATTTTTTTTTTCAATAAAAAAACTCTAATTTATATACAAAATATTTTTTTTATTTCATGTTAATATATAAATAAAATAAAATGTGATCCCAAACAGCTCCTAAATTCTTAAGAGAATATAATCTAAATTCTCTAAGGGGCTTTTTTTTTTTTTTTT